ATCAACAGACCTTGGTTGTGGAACAAACTGAGTTGGTGTGAACCGGTCAGATCTGGTGGGATTGATAGATTCACACTTATTATCTGCACAAGTTATTTTTAACTGGTCTGCATGTCTACGGACAATAAGTCCATTATTTGTTTTTACTTTATAAGACACAGGTCCTGTACAATGAACAATTTGACCTGGCATCCATTTTTCCCCTCTCCCATAATTTCTCAGATACACATTATCATTAACCCCAAATTCTCTCTCAATGGATGTTTTGTCATGATTTACTTTTTGTGTATGTTGATGTTGGGAAACAGACCTTTGAACAGTTGGATGTAGTAGGTCAAGGTGAGTTTTAATTTTCCTACCACACAGCAATTCGCATGGTGCAACACCTGTTGTTATATGAGGAGTTGTGCGGTATTTGGCTAAGAACCTGTTTACTCTTTCCCTGAGAGAAAATTTGTTACCGGTACTCATTTTTATCATAGCGGTTTTGAATATGCCTACCGCTCTTTCAGCCAAACCATTCCAAGCAGGGTGATAGGGTGATGTGGTTATATGCTCAATACCATTTGCTACACAAAACAGTTTAAACTCATGATCAGTGAAACTAGGCCCATTATCTGAAACAATTTGATCCGGCATCCATTTTTCGAGACAACTCTATTTTTCTTATTTTATATGGCCTTAAATCATCATTCACTGACTCTTCAGGCCAACCATTCTTACAGTACTCATATACTTTTATCAAGCACTCATCTTTTTTTTGTTTCTCTCTTAACATCATTCACATTTATATTGGAGTTATCCATGATAGTGAAAAGAACAAATACATCTTCTGGTACATAACTAAGGCTTTGGTTTTTTAAAGGTGATAGCCCACCTTTTAACCCTTGGTGAGGCATGCTCGGGCAGGGGTTTGTTTTCCCCAAACAAACCAAGCAAGGGCTTATGATCTGTAAAGATGGTGAACTCCCTACCAAACAGAAACTTGTGAAATTTCTTAATACCAAAAATGATGCCTAAGCCTTCCCTATCTAACTGAGAATAATTTTTCTCAGCCTGGTTCAAAGATCTACTGGCTAAAGCAATGGGTCTGTCACCATTTTCATCTATGTGGGATAAAACTGCTCCTACACCATCTGGTGAAGCATCACGTTAAGATAAGTCTTTTCCCTGGGTCATAGTGAGTTAGCAAAGTGTCAGAAGACAAAGCTTCTTTTGCTGCATTAAAACCAGCATCTTATTGTTTACCTCAGTGCCAAGTTGCATTTTTCTGCAGCAGCTTGTACAGTGGTGATAGTTTACCAGACAGATTCCCTATGAACTTTGCATAGTAATTTATCAAGCCCAAAAAAAGCTCTTAGCTGTTGGGTATTTTCGGGTTTGGGTGCTTCTTTAATGGCTTTTGTTTTCTCAGGTTGAGGCCTGAGACCTTGCTTGCTCAAAATATAACCAAGAAAACTAATATCTGTCAGCATGAATTGACATTTATCTTTGTTTATCTTTAAACCCTTTTAACCAACTATTTTCAAGACTTTATCAAGTGTTTTAAGATGTTCAGTGTCATTCTTACCAGTTATGTATACATTGTCAAAGTAAACACAAACATTTGGAATGTCCTGAAAAATACTGTCCATGACAGCTTGGAAAATTCCAGGGCTAGATGATATACCAAAACATAGTCTTTCATATTGGTAGAGTCCTTTATGTGTGTTTATTGTCGTATAGACTTTTGAATCTGGATGCAGTTCTAGTTGAGTGTAAGCATGACTAAAGTCTAATTCAGTGAATTTATCTCCTCCTGCCAAATTCAAAGAAATTTCCTCAATGTTAGGAATAGGATACCTATTTAGCTCTATTTGCTTATTCAGTGTAGCTTTATAGTCTCCACAAATTCTTACAGAACCATCCTTCTTTAACACTGGCACAATGGGCGTTGCCCAATCGGACTAGTCTACCTTCTTTATGATGCCATTAGATTCCAATCTACTTAGCTAATTTTCAATTTTATCCCTCATTACATAAGGTGGAACTCTAGCTTTGCAGTATCTTGGATTTGTGTCTTTAATGCTTATCTTCACTGTCCTATCATTTAGTAACCCTGAACTACCAAAGACACCTTCATTTTCAGATACAACTTTATCTATTGAAGTGAAACTAGATTCTCTTGCTTTGTTCACTGAAAATATACTCCCCCAGTCTAACTTAGGATCAACTAACCAGTTCCTACCTAGTAATGGTGGTCCATTTCCTTCAACCACAAGAAGAGGAAGTTTAACACTTTGACCATTATAGCTTACATGAACCATACACTCTCCTATCACCGGAACATTGTCACCTGTGTATGTTGTTAGGCACTTGTGACATGGTTGTAGAGGCACTGATCCTCCTGTGACAGCGTCAAAGTCCTTCTTTGTGATGACGGTTAGAGATGCTCCCGTGTCAAGTTGGAAGATGATGCTCTTACCGTTGATACAAACTAGTACATTGATGGGAGCATGGCTTGTTGATTTCACAGAGAACAGGTTGAACTCCGGCTGCGGATCAGTTTGAGCATTTTCACAGGTAGAGTGGTTCATTGGTTGGGTTAGGCTGTCTTTGTGACAGTTAACATAGTGCTGCTTTTGGTTGCGGTACTGTCTTGACTGGCTAGATCTAGCAACAGACGAAGACTTTGCAAAGCAGGCCTTGGCAATGTGACCCTGCTTACTGCACTTATAGCAAGTTGCTGACTTGAACTTGCATCGATGAGATGCATGGGGACCGTTGCATCGATGACATTTTTGATAATTATTACTAGATTTAAATCTAGGATTTGAACTTGCAGGCTGTTTAGCATAAGTTGAACTGCTCTGATGGGGTTTGTGTTTGTTGATTGACCTGCTGTCTACTGCATGGATCCCTGAGGGCGCTAGAGATCTGACCGCCTCGGATGACTGCTGGTATGAAGTTGCAAGTTGTATTGCTTTTTCCAATGTTAGATCTGACTCGAGAAGCAACTTTCTTTGAACATCAGGGCTGTTTACACCTGTCACAAACATTTCACATAGTCTGTCAGACAGCGTGTCCCCGAATTCACTTAGATGACGTAAAGCAGCAACATATTCTGATATTGACTCGTTTGGTTGACTAGTCCTACCGTCAAAGCTGGCTCTGCACAGGAACTTTGGTGGTGCGGGCGCATGGTGGTCTGTTAGCAGTTTGCTCAGCTCGTTAAAGCTCTTGGTAGCTGGACTAGCTGGTGCGCATAAGTCCTTTAATAGCCTAAATTGTTGAGGCCCTATGACTGTTAACAAAACAGTTCTCTTTTTGGCTTCTATCGTCACGTCGTTAGCTTCAAGGTAAAAGCTTAACCTATCTAGATAATCATGAATGGTTTCTTCATTCGAATTAAATTCTTTTATCTGGCCATACAGCGCCATTATCCTGCAAATACTTAGCCAATATGCTCTAGCAAGCTTCTTCTTAAGTAAGCATGTGCTCTTTTTAGTGGATGATTTATCCTCGTCGCCAAATGTAGTAGATTTTTACTTAGATAGGTAACACAACAGACGAGGAAGCCATATCTATGCACACCACGTTTTATTCTCAATCGGAAACAGGAAGCACAACATGACAAGCAAGGGACATCACTCAAACATTATAAGACTAATACAAGAAGAGTGAGTTCCCCTCAATATAAAGCTCATTACAGGAGGTTTCTGAGAGTGACGACATGCTCTTGCAATAATGTTAGGGTAGATATAAATACCGTGCTTTGTTTACACGCTGGGGTGGTTTTTAAAACACGAGCACAGTGGTCTTAATTATAGTTTTTACAGACAGGATACGAGTTTTATGTTTCTTTTAGAATGGAAGCAACTCGATGTTAAGTGTAACTTGTGGACTTCCGCATAGACCCGAACCCCCACTCCGTCCACAATAGTCTAATTTTCTGGACTCCACTCCATGTAGACGTCTTTGCAAATGCAGAAGATTAAAGCTAGACTAACTTGTAACTGGGGTCTCTTGTGTGAACTCCCCGTGACCTCAAGTGCGTAGTTGGTACAGCTTGGTAACGAGGGTGGGTAAGTTACATCACAGTTCATGATCCTGGTATGACGTATTAAAGAGGCATACTGAAGTCCACCGCTTCACCGTGTCTTGTTGTGGGGGGGGGGGGGGGGGGGGGGTGGGGTGGTGGTTCGACAATTTTTTTTTTTAATTGCAGACCCGTTGTTCAGTTATAAGCATAAATAGTGAATGATGTTGTTACACAAGTTACAGCCTGCAGAATGTTTTTTTTTGCTCCAAACTTTTCTTTACTAGAAGCAGTGGCGTAGCGAGGTCGGGTGTCACCCCCAGAGGCGTGAGATCCTTCCCAAGGAAAAACTTTCAAATTTTCGATTTGCACCCCCCCCCCCCTCTAAAGTTTTCCTCTATATATTTTACTATTTTTTGCCTTGGTGTCACCCGGTGCGGTCCGCACCCCCCTCGCTACGCCTCTGACATGAATTAGTAGCCTATATTAGGCTACTCAACACGTGCAGACCTAAATTAATGTATTACATTATTATTATTAACTCTCCCTATTATGCAATACCATTTTAATAATCCTTTAATTGAAAAAAATTAGAGCAATTAGTTAGATCATGAACAGATTACAAAAGTCTAATGTTGGAAACAAAATAGTTGCATCAGTTTAATCAATATTATTTTTTATTATTAAAATTTTAGGTGGAGTAGGCAAACTTAGAAAAGTGATTTTCTTTCAAATTGGCTAGAGAAAGTTCAATATAAATATAGCTCAATTGCCTAAAATAAATGTCAATTTAGTATAAGTAATTATAATGAGTACAAATGCATCATTTTATAAATTATTCGCTAACACATTATCTGTATAAAGTCTGGAATTTTTTTTAAAAAGTCTGGAAAGAGTCTGGAATTTCATTTTCAAAAAGTACGATCCCTGAAAATTGCCAATTATATACATTATAAAATCAACAAGTAATTGCTACAAGTAATTGATTTTTTTAAAACAAAATTTAATACACAGTCTATAAACATAAAAAAAGTACATTGAACAGTGGCATTCCAAATAATAGATTTCTATTTAAGTTGCAGATCCTAGCTGTACCTATGTTTTGCGCATGGTTATCATTGTGTTGATTTCCCATATAATCGAACGCATGCTGTCTATGATCTCTTTTAACTGTTGATTTTTCAATTTCACACTCTAGAAGACGAAATTTGTTTATATATTTATAATGTATATAAATAACTAAAACTAGATAAAACTTTAAGCATCAGGATTTACAAATTTGAAAAACCAAATGTGTACAAATATCTAGCTTAGAAAACTTACATCCACCAAATCACGATGCTGGTCTATAACATAATAATAAGCTTCCGAGAACGGTAGAGTCCTTTCTAGCTCTTTACCCACATAGGGTATCAATTCCTGTTTTAATAATGAAAAAGTCACAAAATAATCTTTTATATGTTCATGATAATATTCTCCAAAAATATCATTAAAATTTTTTTTTATATTACCAAAGCTGTGCTAAATGCAGATCATTTTACTTTTAGAATAAAACTTGCCATCGGTGCCCGTTACACAGACACTTGTAATGAACTTTAGCTCTCTTCTCTTTAGATACATATAGACTGCCCAGTTTTTCTTTTAGATATTTATCTCTGGGGAGTGGCACTTAAAACTTTCAGGGGAAGTGGGGGGGGGGGGGGAGTGGGGAGTGGATATGGTTTTTCTATATTTTTTATGAAATACATAAAGGAGAAGAAACGGTAGAGATATCTGAAGAAACTGCATATATGTACGGAAAGTGATTAATGAAATGAATTGTAATTCAGCTTTAAAAAAAGTCATTATCAGAAAAATTAGGAAAAGAGACATTCTATTGATCAGAATTGAAATTAAACATTGTTAAGATTATGACCCCCCCCCCCCCCCCCCCCAAAAAAAATAATAATAATAAAGGGTTTAGTTTTATGTACTACTCGCTCTCTCTTAATGTGCTATTATGTCATCAGTATCTGCATAGTATTTGTTATTGTTTTTTATTGCGCCATTATGACTCGTGTATCATTTTAACTAACTTTAAATGGTACTATGCATACATACATACATATATAAAAAATACTAATATATATATATATACTAATCTTTTCTAAGACATCTTAACAGTATCAAAACTACTTTATATTTTGCAATTCTTTGTGGATAAGAAAGCAATTTTATCATATTCATTTCAACTGCCAAAACTGATTAAGTGACTTAAATGATTCTGTTTAAAACCTGGCTTTTCAGTGTTATCTTCTTGTTTTTAAAGTGATTTTTTAACATTATGTTTTTATTATGTATAGACATTTATAGATTTAAATGAAAGCGTTCATTTCTTCATCGGTAACCGTGAATTATAGACCTATATTTTAAATTTTTGTTTGAGAAATATATTTCAAATTTTATAAAATAGTTATTGGTCAAAACGCAATGTTCACAGTGAAATATATTAATGACAAAGCAAAGAAATAACCAAATAGTTAAAAATTTGACACATTTAAAATAACATAGGCTACAAATACCTATTAGAAAAATTAAAACTAAATTATACACATTATTAGTCAACACAACACCATATTAAATTCACAAGCTGATTAAGAGACTTAATGTTTTTTTTTAAAGTAATTTATATTAGTTTTGGGCAAGATAATTGTATCAATTTCATAGATTATGTCTTGATAAGTGGGATCTATAGATTTAAAACAAATTTGAATGAAATATTTCATTTCTGCATATTCTAAAATTGGAAGATGAAGCCATTAGTGTTTGTGTACTTTCCATAGTTTAAACATGGGGCATAATAATTTTTGAGATATTGTCGCAACCATACACTTTTCCAGTTGCATAATCTAAAATAAGTTTCTATATTTGAATATGCCTTTATTTTTATTTTCCTTCTTTAAATAAAATTTATTTTATACATTTAAAACACCTAGCATATTATTTTCAACAAAAGTCTGTATTAAGTTCTCCATATATCGCTGAAGATACTGATCTCATAGCCTGTAAAAATATTTTGCGGACAGAGAGAGAGAGAGAGAGAAGTGTGCACATGGGCTTCTATATATTAGGATAAAACAAACATAAAAAATTTTTAAACTTGATAATAATAAGCTTTCAAATGCACTGAAAATTTTAAAATATTAAACTTTAAAAAAAAATTTTTTTTTAAAGATTTACGAAGGATCAATTTATTTTATTAAAGAAAGTAAATTTGGTTTATTATTTTCAGTATTTAAAAGCATAATTTAAATTGGTTTCTAATGAAATTGACACCACATGCAAATAAAGATAAGATATTTGCTTTAAAACCCAAGCTTGAATAGAAAATTATCTACTCCTTTTTGTCTATGGTCGGGTCTAATGCTTGACTGTAAGAGTTACTATAATTATTTGATGCTACTTTTGCAACACTTGCTTGCTGTAGGCCTACATTTTTAACTTGTACAAAATGTTTTAAATTAAATCATTTATGTAAGTTTCCCTGTTCTTTATTAAACACCTTGTAACATATTGGGATTTGTGAGGTCAGGGGAACTCACTCTTCTTGTATTAGTTATATTTATAATGTTGTTATTGAGTGATGTCCCTTGTATTTATCTATCATTGTTCTCTCTTCCGTTTACCAAATAAAGATGGCTACATGCTGATGGCTTCTGTCTCCGTTGTGTATTCCTAATCTATTATATCTGGCGACGAGGATGGGATAATCCACTAGAAAGAGCACCTACTTACGCAAAAAAGAGGTTTGCTAGAGCATCTTGGCTAAGTATTTCTAGGATAATGGCGCTGTATGGCCAAATAAAAGAATTTGATTCGAATGATGAAACCATTCAAGATTATCTAGATAGGTTAAGCTTTTACCTTGAAGCAAACAACGTGACGATAGAAGCCAAAAAGAGAGCTGTTTTGTTAACAGTCATAGGGCCTCAACAATTTAGGCTACTAAAAGACTTATGCGCACCAGCTAGTCTAACTACCAAGAGCTTTAACGAGCTGAGCAAATTGCTAACAGACCACCATGCGCCCGCACCATCAAAGTTCCTGTCTAGAGCTAGATTTGACAGTAGGACTCGTCAACCAAACGAGTCAATATCAGAATATGTTGCTGCTTTACGTCATCTAAGTGAATTTTGTGAATTCGGAGACACGCTGTCTGACAGACTATGTGAAAAGTTTGTGACAAGTGTAAACAGCCCTGATGTTCAAAGAAAGTTGCTTCTCGAGTCAGATCTAACATTGGAAAAAGCAATACAACTTGCAACTTCATACCAGCAGTCATCCGATGCGGCGAGATCTCTAACGTCTTCAGAGATCCATGCAGTAAACAGCAGGTTAGTCAACAAACACCAACCCCATCAGAGCATTTCAACTTATGCTAAACAGCCTGCACGTTCAAAGCCTAGATCTAAATCTAGTAATAATTATCAAAAATGTCATCGATGCAAAGGTCCCCATGCATCTCATCGGTGCAAGTTCAAGTCTGCAACTTGTTATAAGTGCAGTAAGCAAGGTCACATTGCCAAGGCCTGCTTTGCAAAGTCTTCGTCTGTTGCTAAATCTAGCCAGTCAAGACAGTACCGCAACCAAAGGCAGCACTATGTTAACTGTCACAAAGACAGCCTAACCCAACCAATGAACCACTCTACCTGTGAAAATGCTCAAACTGATCCGCAGCCGGAGTTCAACCTGTTCTCTGTGAAATCAATAAGTCATGCTCCCATCAATGTACCAGTTTATATCAACGGTAAGAGCATCAGCTTCCAACTTGACACTGGAGCATCTCTAACAGTCATCACAAAGAAGGACTTTGACGCTGTCACAGGAGGATCAGTGCCTCTACAACCATGTCACAAGTGTCTAACAACATACACTGGTGACAATGTTCCGGTAATAGGAGAGTGTATGGTTCATGTAAGTTATAATGGTCAAAGTGTTAAACTTCCTCTTCTTGTGGTTGAAGGAAATGGACCACCATTACTAGGTAGGAACTGGTTAAGTGATCTTAAGTTAAATTGGGAGAGTATATGTTCATTGAAGAATGTAAGAGAATCTAGTCTTACTTCAATAGATAAAGTAATATCTGAAAATAAAAGTGTTTTTGGCAATTCAGGTTTACTAAATGATAGAACAGTGAAGATAAGCATTAAAGACACAAATCCAAGATACTGCAAAGCTAGAGTTCCACCTTATGCAATGAGGAATAAGATTGAAAATGAGCTAAGTAGATTGGATTCTAATGGCATCATAAAGAAGGTAGACTATTCCGATTGGGCAACGCCCATTGTGCCAGTGTTAAAGAAGGATGGTTCTATAAGAATTTGTGGAGACTATAAAACTACACTGAATAAGCAAATAGAGCTAAATAGGTACCCTATACCTAACATTGAGGAAATTTCTTTGAATTTGGCAGGAGGAGACAAATTCACTGAATTAGACTTTAGTCATGCTTACACTCAACTAGAACTGCATCCAGATTCAAAAGTCTATACGACAATAAACACACATAAAGGACTCTACCAATATGAAAGACTATGTTTTGGCATATCATCTAGCCCTGGAATTTTCCAAGCTGTCATGGACAGTATTTTTAAGGATATTCCAAATGTTTGTGTTTACTTTGACAATGTGTACATAACTGGTAAGAATGACACTGAACATCTTAAAACACTTGATAAAGTACTGAAAATAGTTGGTGAAAAAGGTTTAAAGATAAACAAAGATAAATGTCAATTCATGCTGACAGAAATTAGTTTTCTTGGTTATATATTAAGCAAGCAAGGTATCAGACCTCAACCTGAGAAAACAAAAGCCATTAAAGAAGCACCCAAACCTGAAAATACCCAACAACTAAGAGCTTTTTTGGGCTTGATAAATTACTATGCAAAGTTCATAGGGAATCTGTCTGGTAAACTATCACCACTGTACAAGCTGCTACAGAAAAATGCAACTTGGCACTGGGGTAAACAACAAGATACTGCTTTTAATACAGCAAAAGAGGCTCTGTCTTCTGACACCTTACTAACTCACTATGACCCAGGGAAAAGACTTATATTAACATGTGATGCTTCACCAGATGGTGTAGGAGCAGTCTTGTCCCACATGGATGAGAAGGGTGACAGACCCATTGCTTTTGCCAGTAGATCTTTGAACCAGGCTGAGAAAAATTATTCTCAGTTAGATAGGGAAGGCTTAGGCATCATTTTTGGTGTTAAGAAATTTCATAAGTTTCTGTTTGGTAGGAAGTTCACCATCTTTACAGATCATAAACCATTGCTAGGTTTATTTGGAGAAAACAAAACCCTACCTGAGCATGCCTCACCAAGAATTCAAAGATGGGCTATCACACTAACTGCATACAATTATGAATTGAAATACAAACCTGGATCTGAGAATAGTGCAGATAGTCTTAGTAGATTACCTTTAAAAAACCAAAGCCTTAGCTATGTACCAGAAGATGTATTTGTTCTCTTCACTATCATGGATAACTCCAATATAAATGTGAATGATATTAAAAGAGAAACACAAAAAGATGAGTGCTTAATAAAAGTATATGAGTACTGTAAGAATGGTTGGCCTGAACAGTCTGTGAATGATGACTTAAAGCCATATAAAATAAGAAATAAAACCCTTTGTGAAGATAATATAAAAGATGGAGAAGATGCAGTCCATTATCAGTCAGAGTTGCCTAAACAAAGTATTTGTAACTTAATAAATGATTATGGTGATATGGCAATTTCAAATGCTTTTAAAGAGAATACATTAGTAAGAAGGAATGTGATCATCAAACAACTTTGCTAACATCATTAGCACTTACAGAAACTAAAAGGGTAACATCAAAAGAAAAGAAGATTTTTGCCACTTCAAATACTGGATCACAGTTGCAAAGTGATATAGTCCAGGATATTACTTTTAAACAGTATTTTTGGTTACCAAAAAGCACTATCAGATTACCTGAGGAAATTGATCAATCAAAGAAATCTATGTCAGTCAAGGATCTGAATAACAGCATAATACTTTCAGATGCCAATTCAAAAATAGTTCCATTAAATCATGACAAAACATGCATTGAAAGAGAATTTGGTGTTAATGAGAATGTGTATCTAAGAAACTATGGGAGAAAGGAAAAATGGATACCAGGTCAAATTGTTTAATGTACAGGACCTGTGTCTTATAAAGTAAAAACAAATGATGGACTTATTGTCCGTAGACATGCAGACCAGTTAGAAATAACTTGTGCAGATAATAAGTGTGAATCTATCAATCCCACCAAATCTGATCAGTTCACACCAACTCAGTTTGTTCCACAACCAAGTTCTGTTGATATGAGTGAACCAAGTAGTCTGGAGTCAGAAAATGTAAATTCTGGAGTTAATGACTTAAATCCTAGACCTCCTGAGATAGAGAATCCAAATGGTCAGAATATTGAGTCACCAAATCAAAAGCCACTGAGAAGGTCAAACAGGACAATCAAAGTCCCAAATAAGTTAGACCTATGATTTTAAAGGTCAAAAGGACTTTGACATCATTGTTTGTATTTTAATTATGTTGTAACATATTGTGCATTGTTTGTAAGGATGTAATCTACCATAGTATTCATGTTACAATATAATTGGTGATTTTAGGATACTGTAAATTGTTCTATTGAGAGATGTGTTGTGTTTACTAAGGGTAAAGGGATGTAACATATTGGGATTTGTGAGGTCAGGGGAACTCACTCTTCTTGTATTAGTTATATTTATAATGTTGTTATTGAGTGATGTCCCTTGTATTTATCTATCATTATTCTCTCTTCCGTTTACCAAATAAAGATGGCTACATGCTGATGGCTTCTGTCTCCGTTGTGTATTCCTAATCTATTATACACCTCATACAAAGAGATAGTGTGATCAGATAAGCCCAGCCACCTTTACTTTCCATAACTGAGTTGAGTACATGGACTCACACCCAGTACCCGAACATGAGACTAGGGTTAGTAGTCCGATGTTCCAGTTTATCATCAATCTATGCTGCCCAGAATCATAAAATATTGCTTAGTCTTAAAGAGACAACTTTTTTTTAGATTTACTGAAACTTATTACCTTCTAAATTAGTGTCTGCCAAAAGTAGGAACAGTCATGCCTAAAAAGAGGTATTTGAAGCCAAAAAGAAGAACATACATGCGGACTCTACTTTAAGAAGTTAAAAATAAAAAATTAGCCTAATGACATTAGGAGGCTTCTAGTCATTTAAAACTAATATGTAGGCTACATTAATTAAATACCGCTTAATGTCAGCTTAAATTTAGAAAAACAGTTGACCAGTAACCTGAAACCTCCAACCCTCAATGAAAATCATAGCTTTGAAATAACATTATTGATTTGATTTCCTGCCTAGCTATGTTCTAGGTTTTTTGAACAACAAATGCTGAAGGCTTCAAGTTAAGAGTTAAGCCCTAGATCTACTTAGTTAGGTCCTAGTTATTTCTTACTAAGTTCTTCATGATAGTAGTTACAACTTACAAGATAGATCTGTATTTGTAGATCTTCTATCTAGATCTAGAAATTACACATTAGCTTGTTAGTCAAGATTTTATTGTATTTTTCTCCCTACATGACACTTTTTTGACAAAAACGGGATGGCGGAATTGGACACTATTTTTTTTTTTGTAAAAAAGCGGAGCGATTCCTCTTTTGGCGGGGCGGTAGGTATGTCTGATTGTGCTAACTCTTATTAGAAATATTTTAGTTTGAATTTTAATATTTTGGGGTATTTGGCCCTGAATCTCAAATTTTAAAGATATCATTCAAATATTTTTGTATTATCACTAACACTAACACTGTCAAGAGTTCAATTTCTTACATCAGAATTTATATTATGAGCTATTCCATACTTTTACTTTTATACATTTACTGTCTTAATTAGGTAAGAGTAGAGTATGTTGTTAATAAACTTGTATGGTTTGTTACAAAAGATTATTAGAAGCTGAATTCAAAACTCAGGCAATGTTATAAGAACCTGGTGCTGACTGCGAAAAAAAAGTATCTTTGATATAATTATGATAATGAAAAAAATGAAAAAAAAAATTACCCTCCAAAGTAACCCCATTACATTAGCCCCCAGTGACCAACAGATTTAATCACCTTTTTTTACTAATAATGTCCATTAATTAAAAAATAATTTTAAGATCTTTTCCAGATTAGCCCCACCACTAATGAAAAAATGTGCTTAGGTGAAAAGTTAAGCTACGCCTCATTTTGCCAGCTACATTTAATGCAAGCACACAACTTTAACTAATTTTTTTTCTCTAGACATTTCAATATATAAACACATGCCATAAAGACAACTCTTTATCCGCCTCTAGGATTAGGTTAGTATCAAAAACTAAAAGTACACATTTATTCTCTTTTTTGGGTGGCGGGAGTAATAATATTTGGCGGCACTTATCTGGATAAGATCCAAGTTGCACACTGATAATATTATATAAGTATTATAAGGCCTACTTTTTTGTAGTATGTCATCTCTTTTCTAAGGCAACATTGTTTGGATTTTGTTTTAGTGCATTAACAGTGTAATATGGTAAATAATTTGTTTAGAAACTGTTATACAACTTGTGAAATTATTTGTTGATTAAAGTAAGTTCCCCTTTCGGATATAACAATCCACTGGTTAGGTTCACACGTTTCTTGACCTCAGCACATGAAGGTCAGCACTATGCCCTCACTGTAATCAAGTACCAATCAGAGCAGGTGGGCTCCTACTATTGCGAGTTTGGACCGAGATACAAGCCGAAACCTTCTGGCTAGCAGTAAACAAATCTACTCTACTTGTTGGCTGGCAAGGCTCAACTATATTGATATTTTTATCAAGAATATTTTACATTAATAGAATACTTACATGTAACAATTTTTTAAATAATACTAAATAAAAGGTGTGATCCAAACCTGTTCATTTGGTATTTCAGTGATGTCACAAGTTTCATTAATTTTAGCATAGAAAACACGAAGTTTTTTGAAATTCATAGTAATCTGTTGTAACTGTTCACCAAGCTTGCCTTTACGTTCTGTGTATTGATTACCATGGAAAGTAACATTGTTAGGGAGCTGAAATTTTTTTGAACATATGCAGATAATCAAGTTTATTGTTAACATTAACAATGCACATTAAAAAAAATTACTGGACAGTAGGCAAATAATTTTATGATTAAAAGAGAGAAAATAGGCCTACATATTTGAAAAGATATAGTTAAGAACATGTTGCAGTTATATATATATATATATATATATATATATATAACTAGCATAATATCTAGCCTAAATAAATAGCCTAGGCCTAAATATCTTAATATTATTAAATTATTAATTGGCCGATGTTAGCCGGAAAAAGATATCGAGGCGATGTTTTCGATGGTACTGCGCATGTGTGTGTTTACAACCGCAGAACCCTAACAGCCTAACACTAACCCTAATCCTATCCCTAACCCTAACCCTAGGTCACTGTGCATGCGCAGAGCTATCTTTTGCCGACTAAGTGGAGACGTTGGGGTGAAAAATCGGTAATCTATCGTTTTGGGTACGTAAAATCGCCCGCGGCTATTAATGTACGAAAACGTTACCTCATTGTCAAGGCTTTAATAGAAGTATATTGTCATATGTTTGTGTCAATTATTATAGATAAATGAATAATAAACCTAAATCAATGGCTAAATATATCAGTATAGGCCAGAAATTACTTTAAACAGCAGTGTCTGCAAGCAAGATTTGCTATATAAACAGCAGCCATTTGTAAAATAGAGTGACTTCCGCCTGAATCTCGCGCTATAAGTCTATAAAAATAAAACTTTAACAAGATGGCTGCTATAGTAAATGAGCATGGTTGCATCTGTTGGAAACATCGCTGGTGTTCATTTATTACTCAAAAGTTTTAATTCAATTGTTTAAAAACAGGTACATAAATGAAACAAGGAAACATTTTTTTATTTTTAAAACATAAATCCTCCTCAAAATGTGAAATAATTATTAAAATGGAAGGAGTCACCTGTTTTTCACATTACTAGTCGCGGGCGATTTTACGTACCCAAAACGATAGATTACCAAAAAATCTTCTTCCGAGTAGTCACTTCGTTATTAATTAATTAGGCCTGCACTTTTGTTATTACGGAATACACTAATAAACTAAATCAACTGACCTGCATGCCTTTAGGACAGAGTAAATTAAACACATCTTGGGCTCTGCTTAAAATATCTTGAACAACTTCCAGACCAAATCTACACATGTTTACAATATTAATGTCTTTAGTAGGAGACATCATTTGGGGTGCAGGTAAAGGACTCATCATGGAATAACCAGAAACATCCCTTTGAACAGTAAAGTGATGCTGAGAGGATGGAGTTGATGGGCCTGGTGCAGTCATTTTCTCATCGATACCAGTCCAGTCTTTGTCAGTGATGACTTGCCACAGTCACGCACTTTGTATTAGGTTTTGTAATGCATTACACAAAACTGTATCTAGATCTAGATTCTAGATCTATATCTATCTAGCATTGGAAATCAACGTTCAGTCAGTTCAAGGCTTTCAAATCGAAATGGAATTACCGACAATACACGAAAGGTCCGAAAAGCACAATGGGTAATCTCACACACACTGGGTTCGTAAGACTTTGAAAATGAAATTCTCAGACTTTTTTGTCACTTAGATCTAGGTAATCCCTTAGTTTAGCGTCGGTTATTATTCCGGAATCGTATAGCAGTAAAAAACAGTAAAACAATGCCAAAGTCTGTCACACACTTCCGGAATTCACCGGAAGTACTGTAAACCATACTTTATTTGGCGTCATCTTTTATTTTTATACAGAATGTTAAAATTTTGGATAGATTTATTTTTGTAATCATTTTTACATTTTGTAATCATTTTTACTATTTTCGTAATCTAGATTTTTTTACTTGGTCTAGCAGCTAGATATCTAGCTAGATCTAGATCTAATTAATTAATGGTCGCAAATCCGCTGCAAGCCAAAAACATTAGGCCTAAATTATTACATTTGACTTCATTATTTATATTTAGATCTATATTATATGTTTTTTTTTTTAATTTTTAGATCTACTAATTTAAATCTACTATTATATTTATTCTTGTTTCCTTTTGTCGATTAAACTTAAAAAATTAAAACATTAATTTACTACAATCGACTTTCAATTTATTTATATTTCAATGGTCAAATAAACCATGGTTTACCGTAACTCTAATTACCGAAACTCAACAAACATTACCCGATAATTTCCGACGCTAAACTAAGGGATTACCCAAACTCTAGAATACATAATAGTACATTTAATCTAGATCTAAATCTAGACTAGATCTAGAATGTAGATTTAGACAGCAGTTAAAACACAAATGATGGTTAGGCTAAGTATCAGCAAATAGCACACGTAAAATGATAGGCCTACATCTAGAGGTAAATCTAGAATAGATCTAGATCTAGATCTAGAACTAATAACCTAGATTAGATCTAGATTCTAGATCGCTCACTTTAGCTTGATCTAGATTTCTATGTTCAACATAATCTAATAAATTATCTAAAAGACCCCGGGTCCCCGAACAGTAGGTTTTCTAAAGGGTGGCCAACTTAAACTACAGAAAACTACAATAAAATAGGCTTTACACTTTACAAACTTGACCAGCAATTAAATAGAGAAGCCAAAACGCGTAAACGTAAAGTTGTGCTACCTAAAGTTTTTCTCTCTTATTACTTTAAAAATCCTTCGAAATTTGAACGTCGCGAACAGACGAATCATTTAGAGTACACTCTGTACAGTGACCATTATTAATTTGACCTTTATTATAGTCGCATTGAAACTTGTTGCAAACATAAGAGACTTTATCTAATAATGACATTTTCAGTAAGACTACGAGAGCTCAGCATTGGTTCTCATGGCGGTTCATTGTCACAGGGAGATTTTAATTGTGGCCCCCAAGTTTTAAATCTTTTATACATACGAGCCGACCCGCGGCGTATCATACGCTGCTATTTAGTTGTTTTATTTTCTACTTTTAAGTTATTCATAATTTGTGAAATCGACAGTACCACTGCTGTCACTGAAAACATTTGCTTTAAAACACTATCAGTAAGTCGTTAAGGACGATACCCCCCCTCCTTTCCCCTACCCCCCCCCCCCCCCCGTGAAAGCAGCCTCCTCTAAGCTACCTCCGCTAAAATCGTTTCAAACTAAATTATCTGCCCTTAATAGCCGTCACTGAACCCGGCTCTACGATTGTAAACATTTAGCGTGAACCACAGTTCACCAGACTTCCTAGAGAGGGGACTGCAAGGCGCGCTTACAGCTTGTTTTCAAACGTCTCCGAGAAGAGAATTATATATATACGAGCCGACCCGCAGCGTATCATACGCCGCTATTTAGTTGTTTTATTTTCTACTTTTCAGTAATTCATAATTTGTGAATTCGACAGTACCAATGCTGCCACTGAAAATATTTGCTTTAAAACACTAACCCCCCCCCCCCCTTTCCCCTAACCCCGACCCTACACCCCCCCCCCCCCCCCCCGTGAAAGCAGCCTCTTAGTTACCTCCTGTAAGTTTAAAATCGAACTAAATTATCTGCCCCTAATAAAAACCCGGCTCTTCGGCTCTACGATTTGTAAACATTTAGCTTTGTAAACATTTAGTGTGAACACTGCTCACCAGACAATTTGGGGGTGGGGTGGGGGTGATAGTGATAGAGAGAAAGAGAGGGGACTGCAAGGAGGCGCTTGCAGCTTGTTTTCTAACGGCTCCCAGAAGAGAATTTTATATATATATATATATATATATATATATATATATATATATATATATATATATATATATATATATATATATATATATATATATATATATATATATATATGTAATATTTAATAGAATTTAATAAAATGTTCCAACCTCCTTTTCTTAATATTTGTTAAATACTAACTTTAAATTAGCGCGAAAAGGCATTAAGACGTAATGTGACTTGCAGCCCTCAACTCATTGAAACAATAGTTACACAATCGTACTACACGATTTAATACAATTGGTTTCGTTTATAAGTAAATGATAAAGGTTATCAGCTCACCAATCCAGTGTAAATTCTTCCGATTTTAATCAACGAAAAACCGCCCCCCCCCCCCCCTACCATCGAGAAAATCGGTTTTTGCCTGTTGCTGTTTCTCATGGGTAGTTTGACAGTTGCACATTCAAGATGCTATTTTTTGTAGCTGTTGAATTCGGCCCACTTACATTGATTATTATCACGCTTTTCTTTATAGTTATTTAAATGGTAGTGTATTATTAGATATTTAAATGAAATCATTTATTTACTACTCTTTATTGCATTATTACATTAAAGCTTGTTATTAAAACGTTTTTTTATACCATTATAAAATGTATCAATTTCTTCCACGAGTAGTTTAAGAGAGTATTTTATTTGACATCTGTAATAGATTGATGTTTTTATTATGACACACTGGACCATAGAACCATGCTGATGTATCTAGACTTTATTCAGCTACCGGAAAACACATGACATACAAGGGACATCACTCAAAACAACATTATAAATATAAGACTAATACAAGAAGAGTGAGTTCCCTTGACCTCACAATTCTCAATATATTACATCCATTTACCCTTAGTAAACAACAACACAGCTCTCAATAGAACAAATGATAGTATCCTAAAATCACCAAATATATTGTAACATAAACATTATATGATTTGAATCATTTGGTAGATTACACCCTTACAAACAAATGCAAAATATGCTACAACATAATTAAAATACAAAACAATGATGTCAAAGTCCCATTGACCTTTAAAATCATAGGTCTAACTTATCTGGGACTTTGATTGTCCTGTTTGACCTTCTCAGTGGCTTTTGATTTGGTGACTCAAGATTCTGACCATCTGGACTCTCTAGCTCAGGAAGTCTAGGATCTAAATCATTAATTCCAGAATTTACATTTTCTGACTCTAGACTACTTGGTTCACTCATATCAACAGAACTTGGTTGTGGAACAAACTGAGTTGGTGTGAACTGGTCAGATCTGGTGGGATTGACAGATTCACACTTATTATCTGCACAAGTTATTTTTAACTGGTCTGCATGTCTACGGACAATAAGTCCATTATTTGTTTTTACCTTGTAAGACACAGGTCCTGTATATTGAACAATTTGACCTGGCATCCATTTTTCCCCTCTCCCATAATTTCTCAGATACACATTATCATTAACCCCAAATTCTCTCTCAATGGATGTTTTGTCATGATTTAATTTTTGTGTATGTTGATGTTGGGAAACAGACCTTTGAACAGTTGGATGTAGTAGGTCAAGGAGAGTTTTAATTTTCCTACCACACAGCAATTCGCATGGTGCAACACCTGTTGTTATATGAGGAGTTGTGCGGTATTTGGCTAAGAACCTGTTTACTCTTTCATTCTTACAGTACTCATATACTTTTATCAAGCACTCATCTTTTTGTGTTTCTCTCTTAACATCATTCACATTTATATTGGAGTTATCCATGATAGTGAAAAGAACAAATACATCTTCTAGTACATGACTAAGGCTTTGGTTTTTTAAAGGTAAACGACTAAGACTATCTGCACTATTCTCAGATCCAGGTTTGTATTTCAATTCATAATTGTATGCGGCTAGTGTGATAGCCCACCTTTGAACCCTTGGTGAGGCATGCTCAGGCAAGGGTTTATTTTCCCCAAACAAACCCAGCAATGGCTTATGATCTGTAAAGATGGTGAACTCCCTACCAAACAGAAACTTGTGAAATTTCTTAATACCAAAAATGATGCCTAAGCCTTCCCTATCTGAGAATAATTTTTCTCAGCCTGGTTCAAAGATCTACTGGCAAAAGCAATGGGTCTGTCACCATTTTCATCTATGTGGGATAAAACTGCTCCTACACCATCTGGTGAAGCATCACATGTTAAGATAAGTCTTTTCCCTGGGTCATAGTGAGTTAGTAAGGTGTCAGAAGACAAAGCTTCTTTTAATGCATTAAAAGCAGCATCTTGTTGTTTACCCCAGTGCCTAGTTGCATTTTTCTGCAGCAGCTTATACAGTGGTGATAGTTTACCAGATAGATTCCCTATGAACTTTGCATAGTAATTTATCAAGCCCAAAAAAGCTCTTAGTTGTTGGGTATTTTCAGGTTTGGGTGCTTTTTTAATGGCTTTTGTTTTCTCAGGTTGAGGTCTGATACCTTGCTTGCTTAATATATAACCAAGAAAACTAATTTCTGTCAGCATGAATTGACATTTATCTTTGTTTATCTTTAAACCCTTTTCACCAACTATTTTCAAGACTTTATCAAGTGTTTTAAGATGTCGTTCTTACCAGTTATGTATACATTGTCAAAGTAAACACAAACATTTGGAATGTCCTGAAAAATACTGTCCATGACAGACTGGAAAATTCCAGGGCTAGATGATATACCAAAACATAGTCTTTCATATTGGTAGAGTCCTTTATGTGTGTTTATTGTCGTATAGACTTTTGAATCTGGATGAAGTTCTAGTTGAGTGTAAGCATGACTAAAGTCTAATTCAGTGAATTTGTCTCCTCCTGCCATACAAGGGACATCACTCAAAACAACATTATAAATATAAGACTAATACAAGAAGAGTGAGTTCCCTTGACTTCACAATTCTCAATATATTACAACATTCAGTAGTTATACTCGAGAAGATAGAAAGTTTGCCGATAATACAAAAATTTCATGCACTAGGCCTACAAAAGAAACTTAAATAAGGACTTTGCTTTATTTTACTCTATTGTTGTCTAAAAAATATTGAATTATTTAATG